GGCAAAAACATTTAGGAATCATTTCAATATCCTCTGCAAAATCCTATATGTTAGGACGCTCAAATTACTAAAGATTTCTATCTATGTGTTTAGTAGAGAAGGTGATGTCTAAGAGTCTGGGCTTAGGAATTAGTAAAGAGGTCACAAAAGGGGATTCTAATGCAGCTCAAACGATAAGCAAAGATAGGCTAGAATTATTAGCATGATGTTTACAGAAAACAGTGGGATGAACAACACTATGATATTAAAGCTTAATATACAAAGAAAAGAAATAGAAGCTAAGAAAAGAAGTAGAAGCTAGAGAATGTTAAAAATGTCAGCTCATAGGAAGAGGTCCAATTTTGCCTCAATAGGACATTTTTAATGTCCGGAGACATTTTTGGTTGGAACAACTGGAAGCATGTTACTACTGAACTGAACTGTACTAAGTGCCAAGACACTTATCATCTTCAAATATTCACCAGCACCTAGTGAAGAGAAGTGTTAAAAATGTTAAGCGTACTATAACACACAGACAACCATCTCTCATCCCACAAAGAATTATCAAGACTAAAATGTCAACAGAGGTTGACAGTCCCTGGGTTAGATCATGAAGGGTCTTTTATGACATGCCTATAAGATTCTACCTGATTGTGCTGACCAGGCTATCTTATTCTAGGGTCTGTTAAGAGAAATTTCTCTACTGACCAACTTTCACTTGACAATTTCCCATTGGAGGTCACAAAGCTATATACATCAAAGCAAAAACATTCTCTTCAAAAAGTAGCACTGACAGCTGTTTAAACACACTGGCACTAGATTTAAGAACAGATGAATCTTTAGCTTTTTCAGAAGTAAACCTGTTAAAATTCTATGGAATATAAACAGAACCAAGTGTTGAAAACTTGTCTCTATCAGCTATTATACAACTCTTCTTACTCCAACTATGTTTTTAATTCTAAAAAATTATTTCTTCCCTGTCAGCCAAGCTTCTAACAATAAAACTTCCATGACTGTAAAATCAAATAGTTATGTGGCAGAATTCAAACAGATCTAAATCTATAACTATTATATGGTTTTTTTGTTAAAAGGAAAATAATCTACTAATTTAAGTCTGATACTTTTCTCTACTAGAATATGCTCTGACACTATTCCGCAATACTTACCATATGAAGCCTCTCAACTAGCTTTTGATCCCCAAGGCAGTTATTTGTATCGAACCAGGAATCAAAATCCTAGATTAACAAGCAAAAACAATCTTAAAATCAGAAATGACATCAACAACAAATTACCACATAATTAGATATAAAAATTTTAGGATTATTTTGAGTTGTAATGCACAGAAATCATGTGTCCAAAGCCCTATTTTTCATGTATCATTGTTATAAATTAATTTTATAAGAAGCAGATTAAGAAGCACATTACTTTCTAAACATTTTTCTTAAAACTATCAATATAACAAGTTTAACAGTGGAAAGATTAACTATAAATTAAGTTTTATAAAAATAATTAGAGGGTCAGCTCCTTGGCCTGGTGATTAAGAGAGCTGGATCCGACATGGCCAACCAAACATTTTGAATTCAGACCTTGGAGGCTTGAAAGACACACAAGGTGCATGTGCATGTCCAAATCCATATGGAATGGAGAAATGGAGAAAGGGCTGCTGTACTACATGCTCCCTAGGGACGGTGCTTTTTCCCTCTTTCTCTGTCAAGCACATGAGCCCTCTGAGCCCTCTGGCTAATCACATAAAAAATTAGAAAATTAGTGTTCTTGAAAAATGTTTCCAGTTTCACAAAGCTTAAAAATTAAAAGAAAATCACTTCACAGTTTGTTCTGTACAACCATTCAGACTACCCAAACAGGTTTCCAGAACAGTATCTATTTTAAGTAAATTTATTATAGTGAAATTGGAATTACCAGTATTTCATTAGTATTTGCGTAGAACTTAACCAATAATGGGTACCCTCTACGCTTAAATTCTTGGCCATTTGTACTCTTATTTTTTTTTAAGGTTTTTGAAAAAACCACCAGTTGCTCACCAAAAAGAGATAGTGAGAGGCAAAATGAGAAATCACCCCCTCAGGGGAACAGCCACGTGGCTATCCCTTCTCCTTCACTCTCCTCCTGGGATTTTTGGCCATGCACGCGCACACAACCCCAGCATGATTCTCGAGCCCCCAGGTTCAAGATTCAAACTGCAGTAGGCCATGTGGGAGTCAGCACCTTAACCACACCTCCTGCTGGCCCCAAACATATGTATTATAACTGCTTTAACTTATCAGTAAACATAATCTTAGAATTCACTGTTTTAACTAAAAGTGTAAACACAGATTACTAAACAAATGAAAGTGTTCAAAAATATCAAAATATGTAAAAGCAGACTAAAATTGTTTTGGAGCTCGACCATCTTTTCCCAACAAAAATTTCTCTATTTTAAATGATCCTTCACACAACAAACCAAAATTAGTATCTTTGTAAAACTTATACATGTACTAAATAAGCATTCCTTTAAAGATTCCTCAACACACACATACACACACACACATATGCACATTCGCACACCAGCTATAGAAACAAAGCTCCAAAAATGAACACTGGTCCAACCGAAAACTGCAATTACTAATAGCACAGACATCTGACAAACATTATTGAATATGTTCTAGTCAACAAAACATTATTACCCAGAAAGTAATCAGAAATACTTACATCAGCTGAATTAAATACATCTGGCAATAAAAAATTAAGAAGTGACCAGAGCTCATGCAAGTTGTTCTGAAGAGGTGTTCCAGTTAATAAAAGTCGATTGGTAGTTTTGAATTCCCTTCCTATTTCTGATAACTGGAAAAAAAAAGAACCAAATTCATCATATTCTGCATATTGACCAAATTCTTAAACAAAGGCACAAATTATTTCCACATCTAAATGTTAAGTTACCTTAGATTTTTCATTTTTGATCCTGTGAGCTTCATCTATAACTAAATATCTCCAATTAAATTTTTTGAACACAGACTTCTCTTTAATAAGCATTTCATAAGATGTTACACATACATCCCATTCTCCTGGTAATAAAACATCTCTGACAAAAGCAGCCTGTGTAACAAGGGGGAAAAAAATCACATTATACATAAACTATATATTATATTTATTGATGACGAGTAATCCAATACATAAAAAGGAGTGGGAATACTGTGAAGGTTTAGGCAAAGGAGAAATGTTTTTAATATAAAGAGGACTAAAGGATAGTATGCAGTAAACACTTCCATTTCTCTCAGGCTTATAGATGTATTAACATACCACTACTGCTATTCTCATTTTACAGGAAAGGAAACTGAAACAGAATAGTAACTGGGTACTAAAACATAAAAAGCAGCTTGATAACTTGAAATACCCAAACTATCTATAAAGGCAAAAAAAGGACTTATCACAGATAAATGAAGGGAGAACAAAGTATATAGTCTTTCAGTACATCAGGAATAAGTTTCCAAATTTGAGATTTATAGCCTTTATTATTTCCACAGGATTACTTGTAATTATGTGATTATTTCCGTGTCTTCCTCCCAAAAGGATGCTGTCAACTGCTCAACATTTTAACTCACTTTGGCAGATACCATAACTCACCTAACTACTACACTTGACTCAATCCATCTTTATAATAAGCTTATAATCTACCACCACCACCATATACACATTTACCTAAAATACAACCACTCCCAAAAAGAAAAGCGACTACATCCTTGCGGCTTTGTACAGTCTCTAAATATCTTCTTCCTGGTATCATTCCTGAATAAGACAATATTACATTTGCAAATTATTAATATTTATAAAGCTCCTCTTTCTCTTTTATCCTTCCTTCAGGTTATTTGCCTATCCCAAGACTGAATTGAAACTCTTTTAATACCAAAAGCATGGTGCCGGCAGGTGGCATGATGGTTAAGGGTGCTGGACTCCCACATTGCCGACTGCAGTTCAGGTCCTGGACCTGGTGGTTTGCTTTCTCACTTTCCCTGTCTCTCGACCCCTCTCTGTGGTCAAATTAAAATAAATAAATAAAGTTTAATAATTTTTTTAAAAATCGAAAGCATAAAAAAATACTAGAAACTTACTCTTTGTTCTTTATCTCCTATCAAACAAACAGATCTTAGTGTTGGTACCCATCTCTTGAATTCACTCATCCAGTTATGTAATGTAGACTTAGGAACCAAAACCATATGAGGGCCAGGAATGTTTCTATAGTGTTTCATGTACCCAAGAAGAGAAATTGTTTGAAGAGTCTTTCCCAAGCCCTGAAAGATTTAAGAATAATCACAAACCAATGAGAAAAAAAAAATCCTTCCATATTTATACCTCCCAACATACACAGAATATTTGAAAGAAACACTGTGTTTATAATAGCTAACATATACCCAAATACTTAATATGTGCCAAAGTTAATAAGTGCTACATCATATCATCTTAGAGAGGTGTTATTATCACCCCCATAAAGCCTAACGTTTAAGTGATTTTCCCAGGGTCACCTAGTAGAGCTAGAATTGAAACACATTTCTTTTAAGTCCATGCATTTTCCCATCAATTAAGTATTTTAGCATTATAGTGACGATACTTGTTTTAAACACTCATAACTAGTAAGCAGTAAATAAGAGAGAAGATGTTTTATGAGACAAAACTGTTACAGGCTGCCTTCTGGATATAAACACTGGTCTAAAATCCTGAGAGGAGAAGGAATTATGACATGGTCATCTCCCTTGGAAGGTTGCTCTCTTACTATCTCTATCTTTTGCTGTCTCCAACAAGTGCATGCACCCCAGAGCAAATTTAGAAAGCACATTTCTCAAAATGTACCATTTTTAAATTACTTTCACAGCTAATTCTTTAAAACAGAAGTACAGGTCCCACTTATCCAACTAAACTAAAGCAAACTGCTTATACCAGTTTAAAAGAGGATTCCTTTGCTAATAGTTCTATATTACAATCACCAAAGTTATCATATCGTCTTAATTTACTATATTAACTTTCACAAATATAACATATATTTTAAATCACAAAATATGGCCTTGGAAAAAACTACCAAACATACCATTTCATCTGCAAGGATACCATTGATGCCATTCTCATACAAAGAAATGAGCCAATTTAATCCTCGGACTTGATAATCTCTAAGTTTACCCCATTTGACATCTAAGAACAAAAGAAAAAACATAATGTACATTTTAAAGACAAGAAATATAAGGCAGTCCTCTTCATCTGATACTCAGGATTCATTTAGACCTATACATATGTATTGAATGTTTTCCTTTCTCTGAGATTCTAATAGAATAGGAAATTCTACAAGTTCCAAGTCACTCAAGGTAACTGCTATGGTCTGAGTGGAGTATTAAGAAATGGACATATAATATAACCAAGTAACACTGTGTACCCATTCCAGTCACTGAGTTCCTATATCACCCATATATACTGGTCCAAGACACATCTCTTTGTACTGTTACTACAAGCGTTTCAAGCCAAGTGTTTTCACCCTTCATAAGACCAGATGAAAGTTTTTATTCTCCTCCTAGTAATAAAAAAGGGAAACAGAACATTTCTTTTCCTTTATCCTCCATGAGTGACTTTTCCATTAGACCATAGAGAGAAATAGCACTTGTCAGGTTATATTACATATTTTGTACCCCCCACCAAGAGAAGAATTACCAAGTACACAAGCTACAATCACTTTTTTTTTTTAATATGTACATTCTAAACCCCATTCCCTTTAAAAAACAAAACAAAAAAAAAAACTTTGCTTAAGAATGAAAAGCTCAGACCAGCCTGGAAGTCAAGGCAGCTAGAGCCCATATGGTTGATTGCACAGTTCAAATTCTAGACCTGGTAGCTAGAGAAACATACAAGATATTATGTGCACAAAATCTCAAAAGGAAGGAGAAAGAAAGGAGGGACTGTAGCGTGGCCATTCCCCAAGAGGGATGCTTTCTCCTCTCCCTCTGGCTAGTGGACACTCCCTCTAACATCAAAAGAAAAGAAAGAAAAGCTAACCAGTGCTAGGAAAATTAGTTACAAAGTAGGAATGTGAGAAAGAGCCCAGGTAATCCAAATTCCCTGCCCTATATGCCATGCGTCTGGTTCTGGCCTCTAATTTTGTGAAAAAGAAAAAAAGACAAATGGGTACTCATAGTACACACACACATACACACACACACACACACACACACAGACACACACACACAGCCCTGAAGATATACACACCATTTCTAAGCAGATACCTATCTAGATAAAGTTGAATTTGCTAAGAGTTCAACATCAGAGTCATTAACAAATCCAAATTATCATGTCCTGTATTGACCCTTACAAGTTTATTTTGCAGTAACTACTAAGATCACATAAACCAATCTATCAAGTGACAGAAGAAGTCAGGGGGAAAAAAATGAAAGGTTCAGTAAAGACAAAGAGAAGTCTCTGTGCCACCAGACAAGATCATACACAAAGGTAAACCTTAAACCTGGCTAAATATGTTTTCTTTTGAAAAACCATTAATAACAAATTCATTTCATTAAAAACTAGAACAAGTTAATACAAAAATAGTAGGAGATGAGTAAGCAAAATTCATGAAGTATCTTTTTTTTCCTTTTTTTAGTAAACACAATGGGATTTTACACACTTTTGAATAATAGCAGCACTATCATATAGAACACTACAATCTCCACTCAAAAACAAAAAAAAAACTAAAACCTACTTGACAATAAAGAATATTTATGATTACCAAAATTTCCCTCTATAAATTATAGCCAGGACACATCTAAACATCAACTAAAGGAGGTCTCAAAGGGGAAATTTTTAAAAATCAATTAATTGTGTACAACATACATGATGGAGAGTCTTCAAATCGAGTGCAAACATTGGTAGCTTTGGAGCTTTCTGTTAATAGTTCTTCATCCTCCTCTTGTTCTGTTCTACGGTGCCGGTAACTGTCAGGTTGAAATTAAAATAAACTGATTTGAGTTTTGACTTTAATTTTAAATACAAACTATAAACATAGTAGTTCAAGTGGTTGAACAAAATCCCACAACAATATTTCTTTAATAGACATCTAAAAAGATTAAGCCTAGATGCCAGCAAGTGGCGTGGTGGTTGGGGGAACTGGACTCCCACATGGCCAACCCCGGTTCAAGTCCAGGACCTAATAGCGCTTGCTTGCTCTCTCTTCCCCCAACCACAGTCAAATTAAAATAAAGGAAGGAAAGAAGGAAATACAATAATTATTTTTAAAAAATTAAACCTAAAAATATGAACAGAAGAAATTACTAAATTTAAGCCTGAAATGTTTTAACATCAGTATCTAAAATAGACATAAGTTGCATAAGTTGTTATTATATAACAATGATTCTTCAAATTAATCAGAATCTGAGAAACTCAAATGTGAAATAGTCTAATTTCGAGGAAACAGAAAGATCTCAGAATTCATATTTCAAAGTTAATTTTTAAGTCTTATTGTCGAGAAGAAAAAAGTTGAACCAGCAGTTGGTGTAATGGCTATGTCGCTGGACTCCCATATAGTCGACAGTGGTTCGAGTCCCGAACCCGGTGACTTAAAACTCACGCCGGGTGTGTGTGCATGCGTGCCCAAGATCCCGAGCAGAGAATGGTAGAGAAGGGATTGCGGCGTGGCCATTCCCCCTGAGAGGTGATTTTTCTCTTTCTGCCTCTCTGTCTCTGTCTGGTGAGTGTGCATACCCTATAGCAAAAATCTCTCCCCACCCCACCCCCCCAAAAAAAGGAAGAAAAAAGTTAAGTTCCACACACTTTTTTTTTTTTTTGGTCATTGGGCACATGCACTTGCCAGAGAAACACAGACAGGTAAAGTGAGAATTCACATCCCAGAGGAGATGGCCATGCCACAATCCTTTCTCCATTCTCCTCCTGGTATTTGGGGCACACAGTCATGCCTGGTATGATTTTCAAGCCACCAGGTCCAGGACTCAAACTGCAGCCAGTCATGTGGGAATCCAGTGTTTCCTAAAATAACTTATTTTAAATGAAGTGATTTTAACCTTCTACTAAAGACTAAGAGAAAAGCTCAACTTTGAAGTATTTATTACTCACTCGCCAACTGATAGCAAGTTCTGTTTCTCATCCTTTTTTATTCGTGGGCGTCCTGGTTTCATCTTCAAAGGTGAGGTTGGAGTCTTCTGAGCAGCAGGCTGAATGAAATGCGCAAACAGCTCTGTCTGCTTTAATAAATACTCAAATCTGTTTGCTCGGTCGGTTTGCTACAAAAAAAATTTTAAGACACATCTTATCAAAATCTTAACAAAAATTTCGGAAATCAATTTTCAACTTGTCTCCATATAATGAGCTCAATAATAAAAAGGAACAAACTGCCGAAACACACAAGGACATGGATGAGTCTCATAGCACTACACCAAATGACAGAAGCCAATCATAAAAGATTACAAACTGTATGATTCCCACTTATTTGAAATGCTAACTTGTGACAAAAGCAGATCAGAAGTAGCAAAGAGGTGGGAGCAGGAATTAACTACAGCGAAAGGGCAGAAGCAAACTTTTTTGATGGAGTATGACTATAGTTCTTCCTCCACCAGATCATGATAGTGGTTAAAGGACTGCCTTTTCCCAAGACACACTGAACTGCAAACATAAAACTATTTCATGTAAATTATACTTCAATATGGTTAACCAAAAAATGCAAACATTAAAAGGCACTGTGTAGTACAAATAAATTTATTCAATGGAAGGGAAAAATGCATTGGTCATCCACCTTGTAGGTTATGTGAAAATGTTTTTTTTTTTACTCACTCGCCAACTGATAGCAAGTTCTGTTTCTCATCCTTTTTTATTCGTGGGCGTCCTGGTTTCATCTTCAAAGGTGAGGTTGGAGTCTTCTGAGCAGCAGGCTGAATGAAATGCGCAAACAGCTCTGTCTGCTTTAATAAATACTCAAATCTGTTTGCTCGGTCGGTTTGCTACAAAAAAAATTTTAAGACACATCTTATCAAAATCTTAACAAAAATTTCGGAAATCAATTTTCAACTTGTCTCCATATAATGAGCTCAATAATAAAAAGGAACAAACTGCCGAAACACACAAGGACATGGATGAGTCTCATAGCACTACACCAAATGACAGAAGCCAATCATAAAAGATTACAAACTGTATGATTCCCACTTATTTGAAATGCTAACTTGTGACAAAAGCAGATCAGAAGTAGCAAAGAGGTGGGAGCAGGAATTAACTACAGCGAAAGGGCAGAAGCAAACTTTTTTGATGGAGTATGACTATAGTTCTTCCTCCACCAGATCATGATAGTGGTTAAAGGACTGCCTTTTCCCAAGACACACTGAACTGCAAACATAAAACTATTTCATGTAAATTATACTTCAATATGGTTAACCAAAAAATGCAAACATTAAAAGGCACTGTGTAGTACAAATAAATTTATTCAATGGAAGGGAAAAATGCATTGGTCATCCACCTTGTAGGCTATGTGAAAATGTTTTTTTTTTTTTTTTCTTGAGAGGTTTTTGCTATAGGGTGCATGTGCTCACCAGCAAGAAAGAGAGAGAGACAAAGAGACAGAAAGCGAGAAATCACTCCCCAGGGGGGATGGCCACACTGCAATCCCTTCTCCTCCGCTCTCCTCTTGGGATCTTGGGCACGCACGCACATGTGCCGGTGTGAGTTTTAAGCCACCGGGTCCGGGACTTGAACCACGGTCGACTACATGGGAGTCCAGCGACATAGCCATTACACTAACTGCTGGTCCTGGCTATGTCAAATTTTAAAAAGGTATCATGCCTAAAACACATTTAAATTCATTAAATACTCATTAATCCAATATAATTTCTTATATCTGCCACCTGTCTTTTTGAGCATAAAAATTAAGGTCCTTGAAAACAAGTTTTTAAAAAAGTAAATAAAGGCAACAGACTTTTTACAGATACAACAATAGTTTACTTCAACAAAGAAGAAACGAGACAAGTTCAATAAACTGAGAAAAAGTACTCGGTATCTCTGCTTATAAAGGTTTAAATATGAGTTTTAGAATGAATTACAGAAAGACATTCTAGTTAACAAAGCAAACATCAGAGGTACCCAAATGCCAAAATGTTGAAAACCTGTAGATCTGGTAGAGGAAAACACTCATTTTTAATTTCACGCCACTGTAACAGCTGAAGCCCAGATGCCTACCAGGAAGGCACAAGGTGATGTTTTACTGGGTCACAAATGACAACCAGAGAAGCAGCTTAATTCACACAGTAAAAACAAGCTGTCAGCCTGCCTCACTCTGGTGATGTCCCACAGATGAGGTATCTCAGTTATGTTTTTCAAGGTTATTAACTGTTTTAAAGACTAAACTAAGGTACGTGTGCGCACACATGCATAGTTGGCACACTTACATTTATTAATTTATATGTAACAAAAAGAAAAGCCATGCATGTGCAACTAAATGTCAGGGGTGCAAAAAGACTACTCAATTATTGTAATTATCTTCAGACTCAAGAGAAATTAAGCTCTGAAAATAAACTCACATTAAGTCTGAGACAAAGATAAAAAGCTACAGATTCTATAGATTTAAATTTCAAACCAATGTTGTTGCCATTATGGAAAAAACATAAATACCTTGTTGGTTAAGAGAATAAGAAGGTGAAAATGAAAATCACCTACAGAGTCAGCCCACAGCTTGGTGGCAGCTGGGGTCAACATGTCTGACTGCATGTTAAGTCCAGACTCCCCCAGGGAAGATGCCCTGATGCCCAAAATCCAGGAAGAAAGGAAAGGAGGAAGAGAAGGGATTGTGGTGTGACCATTCCTATGGGGGATGCTTTCTCCCTTTCTCTTCTCTCTCTCCCTTCTCTTTCTGGCACAAGCCCTCTGGCAAACTTAAAAAAAAAAAAAAAAAAAAAGACCTATCAACTTAAAAGACTAAATAAAAGTTGGGGAACCAGCAGTTAGCGTAATGGCTATGTCACTGGACTCCCATGTAGTCGACCACGGTTCGTGTCCCGGACCTGGTGGCTTAAAACTCACACCAGGCACCTGTGCGTGCGTGCGTGCCCAAGATCCCAAGAGGAGAATGGAGGAGAAGGGATTGCGGCGTGATCATCCCCCCTGGGGGGGGATTTCTTGCTTTCTGTCTCTATGTCTCTGTCTGTCTGGCGAATGCACGCACCCTATAGCGAAAAAAAAAACCTCTCCAAAAAAAGAGAAAAAAAAAAAAAGACTAAATAAAAGTGGTAAAAGGAGAAAAACGGTACTAAAAAGTAGAATAAGGTTAGGAACCTGAAAGAAATCATATCATAAAAAGCGATGGAGATTAATGGAACCAGCAGATGGCGTAAAAGTTTTATCACTGGATTTCCACATAGTCAACCACAGTTTGAATCCCAGACCTGGCAGCTTAAAACTCACACCGGGTGCATGTGCGTGCAGCCCAAAATCCCACGAGGAGAATGGAAAAGAAGGGATTGTGACGTGGCCATTCCTCCTGGAAGATAATTTCTTGCTTTCAGTCTCTTTCTCTCTGGAGATCGCGCGCGCGCGCACACACACATACACACACACACTAGCAAAACTCTCTTAAAAAATTTAAAAAGCAATGGAGTTTTTTGGTTTTTAAAGAATTTTTGTTTACATACATACATTTACTTATTTGCTTGTTCGTTTTTTTTTAATTTGGCCGGTGAGGGACAGAGCAAGAGAGAAAGAAAAAATGAGAAACCAAGCTACCAGGTCAGGAACTCAAATCATAGCCAGACATGTGGGAGTCCAGCACCCTGCCTACCCCAAAAAAGTAATGGAGTTAAAACAGATAGCTTTGGCCCAGCTTTTTTCTCTGAAATAGGAGAAAATAATTTAAGACCATAAAGGCTTTATGTATCTTTGCAAATAGAGGGGTAAATTGAAGATAAGTCTGCAATTCTTTGTGGAAAAAGCAAATGAAATGTGGCAGAAACAAAGTGAAAAGACAGATCAGAGTTGTCAACTTCTATAAAAGCTAAAGAGTATTACTGAACAACAAATACTGAGAGCTCAAGAGATTAAAAACCAGGGACCAGCACTTAGCGTAATGGCTATGTCGCTGGACTCCCACGCAGTCAACCGCGGTTCGAGTCCCAGACCTGGTGGCTTAAACTCAAGCTGGGTGTGTGTGTGTGCATGCCCATGATCCCTAGAGGAGAATGGATTATGGCGTGGCCATCCCCCTGGGGGGTGATTTCTCATTTTCTGTCTCTCTGGCGAGCACATGTGCCCTATAGCAAAAACCTCTCCACAAAAAAGGAGATTAAAAAATCATAAAGTTATGCTGGCATAAATCAGTATTATTTAGTTTTCTAAAACAGTGCTGAGCATCTTCTGTTCAGGAATGAAGAATGGGTGCCAAGAGGTAGCACAGTGGTAGTGTAACTGGACCTACATAGGAAAGGTCCTGGGTTCATGTCTTGAAACCTCTATACCAGACACGTCTGATATTCAGGATGGCTGGGGAATATGGGCAGATCATGGCATGGAATGATTTGATAGGCATGCCTACTTCTGTCTCTCTCAGAGGAAATGAACGATGAATACACTTCATTAGGAAAAAAAAAAAAAAGAATGAAGAACAGACAAATACTTACCTAAGATTAGGAACAAGCATTTAACAAGGGAGTTCACTTAGAAGAAAACTATGTAAATGAAGATCATTATGTTGAAGAGAAAATAAAGATGAGAGACTGAAAAACTTAGGGAGAGTTACTAATAAAGGCCATTATGAAAATGAAAAGCACTGTAGACAACTTCTGAAAAATCACCATTATATATTCAGATTTGTGTCATAAATACTACTTTGCAAAAACATTAAGTAATTTGGAAGAGGTCAGATCTAAGATAAGAGACAAATAATGAAGCCCAGAAAATAATTCACTCATGCAAAGAATACTGAAGGTACAGTGGTAAAAAAAGGTAAGAATGACCAGTAAATGGGTGTATAAAGACTGAGTTCAGTTTTGGATATTTCCAAGAAGTACCAATGAGATTTAAAAGTAAAGAACCAAGAAATAAATGAAAATACTAACTAGAAATATGTGAGCTAGAAAGATTTGGAAGCATTCAGATAAAAGATGGTAGGTGTGGGAACCAGCAGTTAGCATAATGGCTATGTCGCTAGACTCCCACGTAGTCGACCATGGTTCGCGTCCCCGACCCAGTGGCTTAAACTCATGGCGGCGCATGTGCGTGCGTGCCTAAGATCCCGAGAGGAGAATGAAGGAAAAGGGATTGCGGCATGACCATCCCCCCTGGGGGGTGACTTCTTGCTTTCTGTCTCTATGTCTCTGTCTGTCTGTCTGGCAAGCACACGCGCCCTATAGCAAAAACCTCTCAAAAAAAAAAAAAAGATGGTAGGTGAACATCAGTAAGAATCACATTGTTCAGGAAGAAATACTGACTTAAGCAACACCAAAAATAAACAAGTAAATAATATATATCACTAAAAAAAAGAAAGTTCTCTCAAGCTAAGTAAGGAATTTTGAGGATTGGGCAACAATGGCAAGACTCTTTGTCTCCTCACTCTCAAAGCTAAAATCCTCATTTAACACAATTAGATAATCCCATCACATTATGTGAATTCTCAGAATAATTCTATTTGGTTTACAGGCAAATAAGATAGAGATTAGAGTATCCCATGTTCTATATACTTCAATTGGATGTATGTGCCCTAATTATAAAAATGTATACAGATGTTTATTATATACTAAATGTTTAGTCACCTAGCAAAACATTTTCATTATATCTATTGATATGCATAAAACATACCATTTTTTCTTCATAGGTAGGATCTGGTTCTTGGATTTCTTTTTGCTTTCCAGGTGATGCATCATCAAATACTTCCTGGTAGGAAAGAAAAATCATGATGTTAAGGATAATCAACACATCCTTATAAATCATTTCTGCCCAAATCGTTTAAAATATACTCCTACCCAAAACATCCTAAATGGTCATTATCTAACCTAAAACAAAATTGTTCCCTTGATCTATCAGTACCAAAGTAAAAGGAAAATTACTGAATACATACAAAGGCTAGCTACTATTTCTGGAAAAATCAGCCTTGTGAGGTAAGATTCATAAATGCTGGATTTATTTTCTCATTTTGGAAGAACCCACCTTAAATTTGACTTTAAAACAAAAAAAAGGCTTAATGGTATCTTTTTTCCCCAACTGTAATACAGACTAAGGTTCTCAAATGTATTATGCATGTGTGTTCAAACCTAGTTTTTAATTCAGTGAATTTCAGTGATTCTGAATTCAGTTAAGAAAACAGAAAGAAGGGCCAGTTAGTGGCATGGAGTTTAAGGTGGCTAGATCCCACATGGCTGATTGTGTGGTTCCAGTCCTGGACCCAGCATGACAACTGTGTGGGTGCCCAAAATCTAGAGAGAAGTCCACAGGAGAAAGGACTATAACAGAACTATCCACCCTGGGGGATGTTGTCTCACTTTTCCTATCTGTCTCTCTCCAAGAGTGCACGCTCTACAGCAAATTAAAAACAAAGAAAGAGAAAACACACTGAGAGTACATTTATTTTTAAAGACCAAAAAACAACACATTACAATGTTGAGAGGGGGAAAAAAGAACCAGTGATAAGTTGGATCAATACACAAAATCAGTGATATTTCTATACTGACAATGTAAAAATAACCAAGTCATTCTTTAATAAATGAAACTGCCAAACATCTTTTGTGTAAAATGATAACAGGGCAAGAAGTTTGGAAGAAGGCTCACTTTTAGAGTCAGACCTGAGTTCTATTACAGGTTCTAGTTACCAGAAGACTCCATTTCCTCATGTGGCAAATGAAAATATCACTTATTTCATATAGAGGTTACCACATCAATATTCACATTTTAATTTTATTTTAATTTAAGCAACTTTGGGGCCAGCAAGTGACAGAGTGATTAAGGTGCTACTTTCCCAAATGGTTCATCTCAGTTCAAGTCCCAGATCCAGTGGCTTGAAAATTACATCAGGAACATGTGTGTTGTGCCCAGAATCTCCAGAGGAGAATGGAGAAGAACCAATTGGGGCCTGGCCATCCCCCCGGGGAGTGATTTTTCACTTTCCCTCTCTGTCTTTCTATCTCTCTCTCTAGTGAGAGCAAGCAAAAAAAAAAGGCAATTTAAGCTCCAAATATCTTGTTTAGACTTCAATTACTCCACTTTCAGATATCTGAATAAGACTTCTGGTGTTTTATTATTGTTTCAAAGCTTGAATGGCAGCAAACCCTTCTGATAAAGTGAGAAAAACTACGCAACATCTCTTGTAGAGAGCAACATCTCTTGTAGAGAATTGTTCGTGTACATACAATAGATTTCAATACAACAGCTTTCAGTGTCACAGGTTTTCAAACCCCCTTAAGTCCTG